GGGACCACTGGTCTGATCCAGCAGGGCTCTTCTGATGTTCTTAGGAAGCCCTCGGCCTCCTTGCCCTGTTGTTGGCCTCCAGAGGAACTGGTTGGCCACTGTGTGAGACAAGATGCTGGACTGGATGGGCCACTGGTCTGATCCAACTGGGCTTATGTCCAAAACCTGCAATACCACCTCCTGTGCATGTATGCATGCATGTATGCGCGCGCGCACACACACACGCACGCACACACAGACACACTCTTCCTTCCCAATAACCAATGCCTATTTCAAAGTTTCTGTCCCCGGGGGGGCAACGGTACCCTTTTATACACGGTTCAACATTCGCTCCACCCTCACCTTTCTTATGTCCCTACCATCTACCCTAGACCTCTTTTTCTGTCTGGCAGCATCTCTCCAAACGCAGGCCAACGCTTTTCCATAACCCATGACTTGAGGTCCCTGAAACCAAGGACTGGCAACAGGTCCTTGGATCAGAGACCCCGTGAAGCAGAACAGCTGCTTGAAATGCAGAAGTAGCCGAGATTCTCTTCCCCCTTCTGCGAGAGGGAGCCCTGCTCCAGCAAACACCCGCTGTGCCCCAGAACTGTCTGTGTTATATTAGTCTCGCGATCCAATTCAAGGTGTTGGTGTTAACCTTCTAAACCTCAACAGTCTGGGACCCTCATACCTGCGGGACCGCCTCTCCTGTTACAACCCCCCCACCCCGTGCTCCCTTTGGTCATTGTCTAGGCCCCTCTTTCAGCTGCTTGGCCCCAGGATGGCTCAGTCAGCTGTCACCAGGAGAAGGGCCTTCTCCGTTGTGGCCCCTGCCTGTGGAATGCACTCTCGGATAACACCCACGCCCTGCCGGACTCGCTTAGTTTCTGCAAGGCACGCAAAGCTGAATTGTTTCGCTTAGCCTTTGGAGGGGTAACCTCCAACATTTGGGCTGCTTTAATAGCGGTCTGGTGATACCCACGTGTTTTAATATTTTAACGTAAATATATTTGTTAAGTGTTTTTATAGGTGTTTTTTACCTTCCTGGTTTTAAAGCCGTAAGCTGCCGCGAGACCCTTTGTATGAACGGCAACTAAAAAAAAATCTAATAAATAAATAAAGAGCCACGGCGACCGCTGTATGCCAGAGGAGGCCAGCTTCCATCTTGGTGAAGAGGCAGCTCCAAGCGCTTTGCCTCGGCAGTGCCGTGGTTGTGCAAAACCACTGAGAGAGGTTCCCTCGAAACGGCCTTCAGATCCGCCGACTCCTCTTAAGTCAGGGCCGAAGGCCGACGCGTATGTGTTTGGTCTTTTTGCCCCCAATAGGGGATTTTTTATTGCATTTTCTATAAACTACAACGAAATTAGGAAGGGGATCTACAAACTATAGGAGAAAGTAAAGAAAACCCACTAAAAACCCAAGAGACGGTGGTCATACATACTGCTTAGCAAGTTAGCTTTTAACTCAACGTTCAGTTCAAGTTCATTGAATGTGGTCATCTAATACTCTATTTAAACTAAAGTAAAAAATTTAAACACCACCGTATATGACTTCTTAAAGAGCAAAGAAAGAGAGAAATAATTATAACCAAACATTGTAAGAGATTTCAGAGTGCAATAACATCTCATCTTTTATACTTTTTCTTTCTCAAATGGTAGCTTGTCTTTGGGGGCTGCCGCCCCCAGTTTAGAGTCTGAGTTCTCGTCTCAAGCTGCTGCTGCTTCTCCCTCTTCTTCACTTTCTTTGGTGCGGACTACCTCCTCCTCTTCTTCTTCTCCTGCTGGTCCGAAGTGTATGTTTATCACACAGGCCGGCTGCCAAGATAGCTGGGAGGGCGGGAGGTGGCTCTTGAAGCTCATTCTGAATTTGCCTGGGTTTTCTCTCCCCCCTCCCCCCGTACCAATATAGCAACAAGAATCTCCCCTCTGGGCTTCAGGGATGGGAACCATGAAAGGAAACGCAGAAAGCGGAGGGTTTTGGGGTCAGGCCGGGATAGGACGTTGGTACGGGGAAGCTAGCAGCGGGAGAGACTCGAGATCATACCGTTGTCTGGGGAGAACCGCGACCGGGCTCCATGTTAGGAAGCGATTCTGCTGATCTGGAAGACCCAGAACAATTCCTGCTTCTCGGGGCTTCGCACTCTGCACGTCTAGTTCGTCCCTAAAATATTTCCCATTGGTAACAAAAAAAAAGTGGCAGATTTCCCCCCCCCCCATTATTAAATTAAGTGCGTGGACTCTAATCTGGGAGAACCGGGTTTGATTCCCCACGCCTCCACTCGCACCTGGCTGGATGACCTTGGGCAAGCCGTAGTTCTGATAAGAGCTGTCCTTGAAAAAAAGAGCAGTTTCTGTCAAGAGCTCTCTCAGCCCCACCTACCTCCCAGGGTGTCTGTTGTGGGGAGGGGAAGGGAAAGGAGTTTGTAAGCCGCCCTGAGACTCCCTTGGGTAGTGAAGGGCAGGGTATAAATCCAGTCTCTTCTTCTACCTCACAGGGTGTCTGTTGTGGGGAGGGGAAGGGAAAGGAGTTTGTCAGCCGCTCTGAGACTCCTTTGTGTAGTGAAGGGTGGGGTACAAATCCAATCTCTTCTTCTTTTATTTATTTTTTATTTTATACTTTA